ACCATAAAAATTCCGATCCGAGATCATATACAAACAAGTCAAAACTCGATCAAACCTCTCAAATTCCAGGCTTCAAACTGAGAACTGTTCTTCCAAATTCGTTCTGATTACCTTGAAAACCAAAACCAACGATTTACATAAGTCATAACACATCATATAGGGCAAGTCATGCCCGGGAACTGACGAGCAAGGTGCAAAAGCTCAAAACGACCGGTCGGGTCGTTACAGTTAAACACAAGAATTTTAATATCTATAAGTTAGGAATTATTCAAGCTTGTATTCTTGGTGATAGTGAACAACTGTAGCTAAGCCTTAATTCTTTGTGGGATTCAACCCCGGACTTGTAAATCAGATTATATTTGCAATGATCGCTTGTCCTTTTTATAAGGCATAGTTGGGCGTGATCAAATTTTGGCGTCGTTGCCGGGGAACTAACGGTGTAGATGTATGTGTACATATTTCTAGGTTGCAAGTTTGAACTATTATTTTTGTTTTTGTGTATTTGATTATATATTTATTTTTAATTTTTTTATTTTGATCTGAGAGACATAGCATCTTAGAATTATGAGAGTTTTGATGTTGGTAATTCTACTTTTGATCGTCGTTATGCATATCGTGGAGGAAACCACGCAGGGCAAAATTATCAAAATATTCCCGAAAGCGAGTTATGTGCACCAACTCAATCTTATGTGTGGAATGTGTGTGATATGTGTGATGATCAAGATGGTCACTTTCATGGTTGTGCTTATAGTTCTTATCTTCCCCCAATCCCGTACTTTGATGGTTCTTCTTTTTCTTGTGAAGTTAATAGGAACAAAGAATCCAGGGATGATAACCAGAAAAAGATCAAAGATATGTTAAAATATTGCATGGAACTATCTGATAAGAGACCACGACAGATACAAAGGCAAGCGACAACTATTCACAACTTGGAGGCTCAAGCGAATAAATTAATTGAACCTTGTAAAGCGCAACAAGTTGATATTGTGGATAGTAGCCAATATGAGCATGAATTGGCTGCAGAAATTGCCATTATACTAGAGGATTTAAAAAAATACGAGGATGAGCTAGAGAAGGCCAGAGTAGAACATCAAAATCAAGCGAACTAGATTTTGAGGATGTCGATGTCGATGTCGATGTCGTAAAAGAGATACTAGGGTCAACCAAGGATATTGAGGATACATATTTAGTTGACTCTATTGTCATTAGTGTTGAGAATGTAGACAGTCCCAATGTTCATGTAGTTGAGCGCATTGGTCCTCACTCCAAGCATTTTTCAACATTGTGTTTGGATGATGATATAGAAATAAAGTCATCCGATCCACTTGAGGAGTCAAGGAAAGAGGAACAAGGTGCTTACATTCTGGAGTTCTTCTTGCCAGAAAGTCGAAAATACACATCTCATCTAAAGGCCAAAAAGTGCAGAATACTACATTATTTTATTGGGATAGTCAGATTCATTCCACCACCCCAAGAGCATGATCATAGAGCAGAATCAAAACTTGGGGTCCAATTCATAAGTTCAAAGTGGAGGCAAAAAAATGGTTCATGTCGTGTCGCGACGTTAAATCAAGTGTTTGTTGGGAAGAAGCCCAGCTTTACTGCTTTCTTTTAATTTTTTTATTAATTTTTTTAATTATATTATTTTTGTAGTGTCGATTTTTGATTTTATAGGAGTATGGAAAGCAAATTTATTGGAAGGATGCAACAACAAACCAGATGGTTGGAACTAAGTGTGAGGTACCCGCACAAAGGACCAAGCCCGGGAGAAGTCTGAGTACCCCATGAGCTGCTAGTGCTTCGGCCTTTGGCCTACCAGGGAGTTTCTTTTACCCTCTTATTAGTAATGGTGTGCATTGGGGACAATGCACAATTTTAAGTGTGGGGTGAGGAAATTGTCTGGGTGACTTTCTATACTATTTTAGTTGTGGTTTAATTGAATAATTATTTTATATTTTTTTAGAAAAACGAAAAAAAGGGATTGGACTTTTCCCGACGATGAATATCCTAGACAATTTTCTTGAGGGATTTAAGTCTAAAGAAAAAAAAAGATAAACAAGATTTTCTTTGTAGGTAGTGTAGTAATTCCCCATTGATTTATCTTTGTGCCGCGATTCTTTTCCAAAGGTTTTGTTTGAACCGGGTATAATTAGTATTTTTTTTAGGAATATGAGCCATTGTGTTGTATTTTGAAATGAAGCAATATCTCTTGACTTTGTTTTCCTTGAGAATAGTGAGTACTTTGGTTGTGACGTTTAGGCTCAATTTTTTACTCTTGTATAAGTACCTTAAATTGTATGATTTTAACTTTGCATAACTGCTTTGACTAGAGTGTCTTGATGAATCCAATCCTGAGTGAGTTATGTGTCATATGTGTGAGAGGTTTGGGTGTTATTCTGTGCATTGCATTTGATGCCTAGAACTTGCCCCGTGTGTTTGCAAAGCAAAATAATAGTTTTGTTCAAGTGATATAGGCGTTTCTTTGTTGAGTCATATGTATATTTTACCCGCCTAATTGTTATGTATCGTAGTTAACCCCTTTGAGCTTGTAATTCTATTTCTTTGGCAACCACATTACAAGCCTTACCCATTTGTTTGAATTAACCATCTATTTGAACCTTCTAACCTCTCATGAGCACTTGAATTGTTAAGAGCTGTGTAAAAGTTAAAGTGTGGGGTGATTGGTTTGACTTTTGAGTGGAACTAATGAAATAAGGAGAAAGGTACACTATTTTGAAAAAGTAAGAGCCACATGAATAAAAAAATAAAAGAAAAGAAAAGAAAAAAATAGTTGTATTGTTACGAAAAAAATCCTTGATAAGTGGTGACTCTTGATGTAATTGTGTTTGTGCTTAAAGAAGTATGGGGTAAACTACATTGATGTGAAGGTGGAGTTTGGTTTGACATAAGTATGTGGTTTGAATGTTAAAGTGTATGTATTAAAGTGCTTAGGGAGGCGTAGTCACTCTTATATTTAAATGTATCTTACCCGTCCCGCAGCCTACATTACAACCAAATAAAGTCCTACTTGATCCTAGATTGAATGAGCTCGATTAGTAGAGTAATACACTACGGGCAAGCCTATGGTGCATCTTTTGTGGCATATGAATGTTATTTCTGATAGTGAATGAATTCTTTCTATCTTGAGTTCCTAAGTGTTCTTAAATTTTATTGTGTAGAACTACTCTCTTTTGTTGTGTGAGGGCACTTGGTTCATGAAGGTAAGGTAATGTCATTGACCTCTATGTTAGAGTAAGTGGGTGAGTTGTGAATAATGCATGGTACTCATGAGTCAAATCTTGAGGTTAAGCTGTTACGCTTTTGTGCTTAATATATTTTAAATATTCTTGGTGCGATGAGTTAGGAGAATTGTTTAAAAAAAAGGTTGTGTCTATATAAAGTGTAGTTTGATTGCTCGAGGACGAGCATTGTTTAAGTGTGGGGTGTTGATGATAGGCTATAATTACGTATTTTAGTCACTTATTACACTTTAATTTACTACACTTTAATTGAGTTTGAGCTTTAACCACTAGTGTTTTGCACTAACTGTGTGTTTTACGCCTTGTAGGAGTGATTCCGAGCTATATAGATATTAAGGAATAAATTCAAGTGATTTGGAGCTTTGAAGTCTGAGTAAAAGCCCAAGGAATTAGGCTGGGATCGTGTTCGGAGATCAACGGATGATAATTAAGAGCGAACGAAGAATCGAGTAGGCATATTGCGCACTGTCTAGTACAATGCACATAACGTTTTACTCAGAATTCCATTTGGGATCCACAATATATGGTTGGAAAGCTAACTCAAAGGGCTACAACTTTCATGTTTTATGTTTTTCCAAATTCCAAACAGAACAGGGTGAAAAATATGTGTCAATAGCGCAGCCGCATTCAGGTTGCGGTCGTCAGGCAGAATCAAAGTGGATATGCGCGGTCTGAGCGCGGTCCAAGCGCGGCCGCGCACATTCTGTCCGAAAAATATGTCCTTTTTTGCGTAGGAGAAGGTGTAATTGTTTGGTTCCAACCCTACTTGGTATATATAATGGGAAAACGGTATTTTGAAGAGGTTGAACAGATTTGAGACACAGATTCGACCTATGAAGCAGAGACACAATAGGAGCAAGGCGGGGAATTCTTCTACGAGTTTTTCCTTCCTCTTCCTATTTTTCATTGTTGGTTATGACTTTTAGTATTGTAGTTTTACATGCTATTATAAATAGCTAATTTGTTATCTAGGGTTTGGATGGAACCTTTTGTAGGATAAATTCTTGTTATGTTTTTATATAATTGAGCCGTAGTATTTTCTCTATTTGTTCAACTACATTATTCTTGTGGTTGACGAAGGGCCCTCAATTAGCTATGCCTATTTAATATGTATTATTTGAGAGAGAGTACATATTTAGGTAGTTGTTGAACAACATCACTCCCGACGTATGTGAGGAATCAATAACCAAGGGTTTAAAGGTGGGATTAGGGATAACGAAACCTTGGGTGCGATCTAAGTGAGCTGTAATTAAAGCCAGCTAGCGTAACTCGGGAGAGTATGTCTAGTAAATTGTCGTAATTACTCGGGAGAGAATTACAACACGCAGAGCGCTCATGATCGGTAGAGAATACTTAGGCGAAATTATAGAAGACATAGCGGGAAGGATTCTGACAATTGGGAAAATTATAATTCTAGACCTCCTTAATGTCTCTAACCCTTAGTATATGTAGTTGTTAATTTACTATTTTAATTTGTTAGTTAGTTAGTTAAACACAAGAATCTTAATATCTATAAGTTAGGAATTGTTCAAGCTTGTATTCTCTGTGGGATTCGACTCTGGACTTGTAAACCGGATTATATTTACAACGACCGCTTGTCTTTTTTATAAGGCATAGTTGGGCGTGATCAGAGAGCATAGGAGTTGTTTCCGTTAGACCATCTGCTGAAGAAAAGATGAAAAGAAGTTGTGGCAACAAGCAGTAATAACAACAAGATATTAAGAAAACTGAAGCAAAAGATAGCAATCAAACAGTAGGTAGTGATCGCAATATGAGAATAAAAAGATACAATACTAAAACTAAAACTAAAACTACGGGAAGGAAAAAGTAAAATGCTCGACTACCTACTAACTTTCTACTCTAATTCTCGACGTCCACATCCTCCTATCAAGGATTATGTCCTCGGTAAGCTCAAGTTGTGTCATATCTTGCCTAATCACATTTTCCCAATACTTCTTTGGTCTACCTCTACCTCTCCTCATACCCACCAAGACCAATCTGTCAGGCCTCCTGACTGAGGCATCTCTGTGCTTCTCCTCCTCACACGTCTGAGTCACCAGAGTAATGATTTTAGAAACCAATGGCAGTGCAATCCATCAAAGAATGGATAGACGGTGAGAAAAAGACCATCCCTGCATCATATTTGAATATAGTAATAAAAGCTAGCCCAACACCTTTTCTAGCTTCCAAAGTTGCTCTCATATATAAGCATAAGTTGTTTTAATCCCAAAATAAATAATGCAAATGAAAACACATACCAAGAAGAATATAACAGCTGTAAAGATTGGTTTGCATATCTTTTCCTTTCTATCATGACATGACTGAATCTTGTTTACTAGTGCCTTCAACAATGTTGATGAAAAGGAAGATCAGAATTGCCAAAGCTAATATAGAAATCTGTTGCATTTTCTTATGTTCTTTTTCACCATAATGTAACTTCTTCTTGGTTGAACTTCCTGGGAGTAATCCATAACCACAGCAAGCCAAAACAGAGGATTGGTTATTTAGAGGAGGAGTGGGAGTCTCGGCAGGTAGCCATTTGTAACTACAGGAATTCACAGTTAAAATATCCAAACTGAATACCAACCAAACAGATTAAACAAACTGATTTTTTTTTAATTTGGTTTTAAATTTATATGGTTTGTTTTGGTTTTATTTTATAAAAAATCAAGGAAAAATCAAACCAACACGACAAATTACATATACAAATTTGATAAATATATATTAAAAAATCGAACCGCGAACACTCCCTATGTGTAACTTAAGACCTCCAAAAGAGCATCGGTTACCCCTAATGCTTTGTCAAGTTTATGATACCAACAATATCCACATTATCCAACAGCCACAATAATTTCAATACGCTAAAATAAGTGCTTATAGGCAAACCACAAAGCTCAACAAAATGACTGACTTTAGAATAAGAGGAATGGGGAAGAGGAAGAAAAGAATGAAGAGAAGGTATAATCTCAGATAACACCATCTCTTCAAACAAGTTAACCACAAGATATATTAGACAGTCAATTGCAAAACCAATCACTCCTGCTGTCCGGTAGCCGGTTACAGCTGTTTCTATTTCCTTCTCAGTTCAATGGCGGACACATGTTGTATGAAGCGGTATCATGTGACACCGCTACATCGGAAAATTTTACTAAATACATATAATACTATGTGGAACATGTCATATACAAAAAAATGACACCACTTGACAAAGCGTTATCCTTGGCACACTGGTTAAGTGCTTGATTTTGCTTGTAGAGGTTAGAGGTTTGGACCTCACTTTGAACACGTTTTTGGCTAATATTTGAGCGAGCCTCTATCGTTAAAAGATTGTTATTAAGTAGAATGGAACCGTGAACCTCTTCTAGCTTAAGACTCAACAAAAGGGAGCTCTTCCTCATTTACAAAATTGATAATATATGTTATTTGTCTTCTTCTCTAAATCTTGCTATGCTACTGCTCAGTCTCACCCGACAATGCATAGCGGGCTAGCATGCCATTATAGCCTTACGAACAAAAATAAAAACCTTACGAATAATATTTCTACTCGGCATTTCGTCGAGCATTTTGCATATGAAGCATTCATCCACACCAGAGTTTCTCCCTAACAACTCATACTTACACCTCATTTTCCAAGGAACAAAATGAAATATAACTGGACGAAAAGCCTAAAGTATTACAAAATTCTACTTCTATAGGCATAAAATTTCAGTACAAACCCGCGTCACACAAGTGTCAAATTAAAACACATGAAGAATGAACTGCGATTTTCAACTTTAACTGAACGAATAAGGTGCAAATTCAAAACGAAAATCAAACTCTGAACTATTATTAACACCACACAAGCATAATCAACAAATACCTATTCGGATTTTGAAAAGAAAAATGTAAACTTTCGACTCAATGTGAGCAAACTTTGCATTATATCGTACTCTAAACTCAAAAAGAGAACATAATAATACCAATAGATTGGTTGAAGAATTACCTGAGAATAGAAACATTTGAGTACCACGAAGCTCGGAGACGAAAAGAACGGGAAAAGCGCCTGCTATATTTAGCTTGTATTTGTACTTCAGTAAGAGCGAGTTACAAATGCCATTACAACTTCAGATTACGATTTGTAGGTTGCATTACTCAGTTGCTAATTGATTTCTGAGTCGCATTTATATATTGCGAATTTGTTCTTCAATTCGATTATCAGTCGCATTCGTTAATCAAAAGTGATTTATCATGCTAAAACATGAGTCGATCGCTCGTTAGGGACGGTTTATAGATCATTCGTCAATTGCTATTTATAAGTCGCATTGTTAATTTTCCGTTAGTTTAGCTGCAACAACCACAACGCAAGAACCAATTCCTTTATGAGAAATTGAAAACGTCAAAGTAAGATGTGGCTTATAAATAGGAAGATAAGGTGTTAACACGCTAGGGGTTGTTACTCACGCAAGTGAAAGGGCATTTTGGAACACTAAGTGCGGCTAGTGGTTGTTTCGCCTATACCACTAGAATCGTTTCGGCACCTTGAGTTGTTACCAATAGTAACGCAAAAATCCTTCCTAGAACTACTGGATGCGATATCCACAAGTCATATTTGCCACTTGTGATTTATGAGTTGCATTTATCAATTGTGATTATAAGCTGCATTGTCAAATGCATTTTATAAGTCGCATTTGTCAATTGCAATTTATCCATTCTCAATTGCTCGCATTTCAATTGCAATTTATAAGTCGTTTTTTTGTTGCGATTCATAAGTCGAAAATTCACAAATACGACTTATAAATTGCAATTGACAAATCTGACTTGTAAATGCATTTGTTATTTTTTTAAAAATTTAATAGCGTTATCCTTCATCTGTTAGTCGCATCTTAAATACGTATTTGGGGAAATTTATACATAGCAAAGGTATTAATTGGCCAAAAGTTAAACTATGTGTTTCTCATTTTCCTTTACTTGTCCCATCTCTAAGCTGCACAATTAAAGTTTCTTATGGTAAATAGTTTTTTATTTAATAATAACATGAAGTGAAATTTGTACACATGGTTTTTCTAAAAGCAATTTTTTAAAAGACTAGCTAAACATTGAATTATGCTTAGATTGTCATATAATTTGGCCAAATACAATTTACTACTTTCCAAAATACTTATTTTAAAACTCAAAAGTAATTTCAAAATGAAATCACTAAAATCACCTTTTGAAGTTTAGTCAATAACAGTAAGGAAACCGCAAGCTTACAATTTAATTAGGATAAATCGTCAAAATATCTTTTATTGTACGTATATTTTAAACTCTTTTTTCTCTATTGCATTTTGAGGAAATTCCTACATTTATCATTGATTCTAATAGCTCTCTAAGGGTGTGTTTGGTATGAAGGAAAATATTTTTCATAAAAAAATATTTTTTTGGAAAATATTTTTCTTGAAAATGAGTGATTTTATTACTTATTTTTCCTTGTTTGGTTGGTGAGTGAAAAACTTTTTTCGAAAAATATTTCTAATATTTGATTAGAGAGTATAAAATATTTTTAGAAAAATATTTTTTATGCTACTTTTTTCAACCCACCTTCCCCGTGTTTCCTATATTACTACCTTCCCTTTTTTCACATAAGTACAACGTTAAAATTTGAGCTCCATATTTTTTTTTTTAAGTAATTTAATGTGCTTGAAAGTGTTTTAGAAAATGTTCCCTCGGGAAAAACATTAAAATGGAGGGTATAATTAAGATATTCCTAAATAATAAATCATTTCCCTTTTAGTTATAGCAAAATTACTTACGGTACTGAAAGCATAGTTCGTCCCTTTGTATTACAATTCCTCAATTGAAAAAATTTATTCAGAATGAGGTCGTCATCATCGTCAAAGCAAGCTGCAGATAATAGTCGTGGTATTAGCGGTCACCTACTGACCCTTCATCAACGCCTTTACCATGCTCTCAATCTCGGCACTAGGTAAAATTTCTTAATTTTTCAAATCAGTTTTGAGGATTTGAATGTAATTATGGACCTGAATAAAGCAGAGTAGGCATAGATTAGATGATTTGTATAGTGGACCCAAACTAGTTTTGATATTGAGGCGTAATTGATTGGAGACTTATACAACATTGTAATTTTGAACGTTTGGGCTCCAATGTTTATTTAAGCCGTATGAAATTTATTCCTCCTACAAATAGTAATGTATTGGAGCTCCCATGGCTTTGATGAACCAATTCTGGTATTTAAATGGAGAAGAGTAGAGAGATAGGCTCGTTATCTGCAGAGTTACCAAGGTGGAAACAACAGACTTCTCGGTCAAACAAAAGTAATGGAATAGGATGTGGATTTATCATCATAGATAAGTGATAATTATTTCCTTTTGTATGTAATCTCGGATCCTATCTGCCTAAGCCGTGGGCAGAGTTACCCGGTACTCGTGCTGGTGGAAGGTAGCAGGTACCGGTCGAATAGTCGAGGTGTGCTCAAGCTGAACCGGACACCACCATCATCAAAAGAAAAAAGTACTTAATCTTGTAATTGAATCTCTTTATGCTTGGTTGTGAGGCTCTTTTGGATTCAACCAAGACACTTATAATTGGTCAGGTTGCAATTGGACTAAGAGAGGATATATATTGGAGTCCTTGCTGCTTGATGACACTCCATATTTACCTTTATAAACTTTTTTGCGGCGGAGCTGTAGCTGAATCTTTTGATTACCATTAGTGTATGTAACTGAAAACAAGTTAAGTTGCATTGTGCTTGGAATATAGCTGACTGGATCTAGATGATCGTGGTGTGAAGGGGAAAAAAGAACAAGATGATTAGATTTCAATAGGTTGACCAGATTCTGATGCTGTAACTCAAGGGAACTTATGTCTGCCAATTAGCAAATGGCAAAAGGGGAAGCATTTGAAACGCTTAAACCAAGAGATAAGTTAATTAATATTGTCTTGCTTCAAAATGTAAAACCTCCTTATACTTGTATGATTTGGAAAATCTGAATACATACAAGATAGCTATGGAAAGAAGTTGTCTTATGTGCACTAAGAATGGGTGAGTAAGTCTTGTATCTGCGAGAAACTTTGATATAAAAACCATAATAGTTAGTTCCTTGGATGGGGAAATCTCAGCAGCCATTCCAGAGATTTTTTCTTCATTTTCTTTCTAGAAGTTAATTTGACCTCTGATATTATCAGTCAATCATTAATCAATCACCAATTCTCAATCCAAACTAATTGAGTTCGGCCATATGAATTGTCTGATATGTTTCCCCAAAAGAAGTTGATTTGCCTTTGGATATAACTGATAGCTGTGCTTCATTTATCTGAAGAAAGGACAGAGCTGAATTGATAGCCGCTATTCATGATATGTCTCATGTCGATATAAGATGCAAAGTCCACTCCAATCAAAACAGGGACGTGATTACTTGAATAACAGGGTTGTTTAGGATTGATAATCAGAGCGAGCATCGTTTTCTTGATATGCATTTCTTGATTTTTTCTTGATATGCATTGGTTCTAAAATCCCTTTCCAATATTCCTCAAAGATGATACTTGAAACAACATTTGCTTCCATGGTTAGTGAAAACGGAAGGCACAATAAGGATGTTTTTCTACTGGGGCGACAATCATTTAATGTGACACATCCTATTCTTTACTAAGTTGTTTGTTTCCTGTAGATATTGCGATGACGGGGTTCAAAAGCTGCATTTTTCTGATATTGAGATGCAAAGACTAGTACTTCGTTCAGTTGATGCATTTCTTGATAATATATCTGCTGAGTCATTACAACACCAAGTTGTGAAGGTAATTTGTCTTCCAGTTACCAATCTTGTATAAATTTGGAGAGCACTTAATCTCATATTTTGTTGGTTGGATCGCCTGTTATATGTTACGACGAAAGTGCAAGAGATAGAAACGAACTACAACTTGGAGATGCATCATGTTCATACATTATTTGTTTAGAATTTTTTTTGCTTTTGTTATGCAAGAATATGTGTTATGGTACTTGTGGGAACTTTAGCCTTTCTGAATAAAGTTAACTGGAACAATCGATCCATGTGATACAAATCACATTAAAGGGCAACCCGATTGCACTAAGATCCTGCTAGTCGTTGGATCCAGACCACCTTGCTACCCCTAAAATTTTCCTTTATTTACAGAAAGAGTGGCGAAGTTTAGGTTGCCTTTGTAACAGCAAGATTTGATGTTGAACCTCTTACTGTGAATGTGGATAGAAAACCACAACGAAAGGATAAGATTCCAGATAGTCAGTTGATTTCTTATGCTAGAAAAAGAACATACTTGTGCATAGTTTAACTTGTAGATACTGGTCCTAAAGAAGAACTCTCTACCAATACTTGGCTTCTCACTATGTTTTGCTCTTTTTCTTCCCTTTTCTTTTAAAAGCATATATCATAAGTAATTCAAATTCCCTGTTTTATTTTAGGAAGGTATTGTAGACTTGACTGGTGACATGTCCTGTTAGTTGTGTGATCTCTTGCGGGGAACTCTACCTGTTTGAATAACTTTCTACATCTTTTTCACATCTATTGTAGTTTAACCTCTGGTATTTTTTTCCCATGCCAGGAGTCAGTCAGTGACATAGTTGCAGCTGTAGGAAGTATTCTAGCATCAAAAAGTGCAGCCACATTAAGATTGGCCTCAGATGTAGCTGTAAAGATCGTCCGCATCATACCAAGTACAATGCTGCAACCTCATTTGGCCAATCTCATCCATCCTTTGTCATCCTTGTTAAGTTTCCAGCAATTACGAGTTGCTATATCTTGTGCCTCTGCCTTGAATTTGATTTTATCAAATCTGAGTTCTAAAAGAGAGAAAGAGGTTTGGGAGATCTTAAAAACCACAAACGTGGTTGGTAATCTAGGCCAGAATGTTAAAGGATACTCCAGTGACAATAAGCCAACTGAGTACTTTAAAGAGATGGCCTCTCTGTTAAGTAAAATTTTGTGGCGTTGGCCTCTTTCTCGGTTCCGTGTTTGGACTGATACGAAATTGTTGAATATCTTAGATACTGTCAAGCTCAATCCTGACTGCTCCATCAGAATTGCTGTTCTGCAGCTATATTCTGCTTTAGGTATTCATATATCCTGCAGATTTCTTACCTTTCTCCTCTCTTGGCTTAGACTCATGATATTGCATTCTTACTTTGGGTGGCAGCTCTATGTTGCAATGGAACTAAGAAGCTTTTGGAGGATGGAGAAGGTCTTGTAAAATTTTTGGTGGACAGTTTGGACAGTTCAAACCCTCATTCGGTCCAGATTGAGGGATTAAGACTTGCCCAATGTTTAACGGTAGCAATTGAAACTGAACTATTATCCTTTATCCTACTTAGAAGCTCAAGTTTATTTCGCTCGCTTACATTGATATATTTTATTAATTGCTCAGAAAAGTGAACAAGGATGTTCGAAAATTAATAAATCGTCTTGTGAGCCCTTTGTGAAAGCCGTGATTACCTTAATGAGTAACTGGAGTTTTGATGCTGGAAAGCTTGCTAAGTGCCAAATGTCAATACTAGTTGAAGTATGCCGTTTGGCTCTGATCACTCGTTGGGCAGGGGACCACCAATTTTATCTTTGGAAGGCAGGAGTTGATGGGGTTCTTCTTAGTCTTCTCATAGGAAATTCTGACACTACTCAGCAGTCTCTGCGTAGCTTATCTCTACAAGAACAAATCATCAAGTTAGAAGAGGTTTTTGATAAATATGTTCTACTTCCACTGAGACCGTATGTTTGGGATATTCTTGGATGGCTTGCAGCAAATTGTATGGAAGATTTCTCCCCCAAGATGCNTATTGACATGAAACAAATTCCCTAATCAATGTGTGTGTGCTTCTGTTTGTTTTTGTCTTTGAAAGCTTGGCCTTCGCGGATTCTATACTCATAGCTCGCCAAATTTCTCAAGGGAGTGTTTGTCATTCATCAGAGAGTGAACCAGCATCTAGGGCAGTCCTTATGATGATTTATTCTCCCAGCAAGTACATTGCTTCTGAAACAAGGTTTATCCTATCTGAAGTTCTGGCACTGAAGGGAAAGGACTATGTGGAATATTTACTGGATAGTTTGAAAGCGGTATCTTCTGGAAACAAGTTTGGAATACCGAGTAATTTTAGACTTGTCATAACCTTGATAACTCTGGCATGTTATTCAGCTCTGCCAAAACATCGTAAGCATGTAATTCAGCATGGAGGAATACCCACTCTGTTGAGCTTCATTAGTTGGTGGTTAGATAATCCTGTCCACCTAAATAGATCCAGTGTGGCTCCTCATGTGCAGAATTATTTCAGTGAAAGGACTTGTTGCTGGCCTTCTTCTGAAGATTGGGAAGGTGAAGATATGCTTTTACTTTTTGGACTTATGGCTCTTGGTGAGTTGATAAATGCGAAAAATTGTGGTGGTCTCTTTTGTAATCAGATGGAGTCGCGAGCTGCTTTTATCAGAGAACTTCAAGAGATCTGTATTAACAATTCTAATCCTGGACCACGATGGTACGCTGCTTATATCCTTTGCCATTTTGGATTATACGGTTTTCCAAGTAAGTTTGGGAGAGAGTTTCGAGAACTCCTTACTGACAATGAACATACTGATGCGGAGCTTATAATTAAAAATCAGGAACCAGTGCATGTCCATGGTGTTATTCTTCTGGTTAGATGCCCATCATTGTTACCTCTTGAAGAATTGCTTAAAGAGAAAGATTTTGGTTCTTCCTTAAAGCTGGATTCAGATTCATGCAATAGGTTAATCACCAAAGTTCGTCTCTCAGCTCATGTTGATTGCCAGTCATTGACAAAGTTATTGGAGTATATCTATTCGGGATTCCTTGAAGCAGGAGAAGACCTTGTGAAAAAGTTGAAAATTTTAGCCAGACATTGCAATTTGCAACCTCTGGTACAATTGCTTTATGGAAGAAATCCGAAATGGGGAACTCCATTCCCAAGTTCCGACATTACCTCTGCTCTTGGGCCAGCTGGACGTAATTTTTCGTATGAATCCTTTTTCACAACTCATTTTGGGAATTTGTAGATTGTATTAGACGTATAGACTTTATTTTTGTCCTTTTGGTTTAAATTCTCTTTCAGTATTCATTTCCCGGCATTGTTATGTTGTGGTGGATGCACAGAACTATTTTTGATTTATCCAGATACAATAGTTTATTTAGTGTGAGGTCTAGTAAATCCACAGGGAGGCAATTAATATCATCACTTGTTCTTTCACCAAATGGCTGTTCACTGGCTAACAGCCTGTAGACTTTACAGAGAATGGATAACATCTGAACCTGTCATTAATGCTTTAAGTATGTTTAACGATGAAGGCTAAAGACTTTTCTAATATGAGTTGTTGGAATTGTTCATTGACTTTTTATACTGTGTTAGATATGTAGATACACCCTCAAAGAGGGATGATTTTTAGCAATATTCCTTTTGTATCTTAATTTATCCTTCCTATCAGTCCCCCCACCCCAAAAAAAAAAAGAGTAAGATATGACATTCTTTTCCCTTTTGCTCTTGCTAATCAGGGATATTATTTTGGAGGCTGAAACTTCCCGACCAAGTAATGAGGACTGCAATTCTTGCTCCATATCTGTTTTACACCTGCATGTTCACAAAGTTGTACTATGGTCAAGTTGTGAATATTTACGGGCCCTCTTTCAGTCAGGAATGCAAGAAAGGTATTCCAAATAGATTGCTTTTGTCACAAACGAATTCATAGTTGAATAACTTGGTTTACCCCAGAGTTGGGACTTGTTGGGTTGCCAATATGATAGGATTTATTGCTGTACAGATACTTAAATGGCTTGATCCATATGGATTCATGACCTCTTAGAAATTTAAAAGTATGCTTTTGTTTTCTATTATGTGCCAGCAATTTAGTGTGGCTCCTGGTATGTTTTTGCTTTCTATTATGTGCAGCAATTTAGTGTGGCTCCTAGTTCTATTATGTGCCAGATGATTCTGTTTTCTCAAGTTTAGCAGTATGTTTTTGTTTTCTGAAGGTAGAACACTATGCAAACGAAAAAATAACTACATTATGGAGTTTATTTCCTTATTTGTTGCTACGTTAGCTTTCTTCCTTCACCTCTCAAATGTGTAGTTGATATTACATTTTTTGGTTTTGTTTCAGCCATTCGCTCACCATCAAGGTGCCAGTTTGTTGGGACTCCTTGGTTAAGTTAGTCAGCTGGTTCTACTCTGGTGAGTTGCCTAGACCAATATCTGGCTGTCTATGGGACAATCTGGATAAGGAGGAAAAGCTACACGAACTCCAGCCCTATGTAGAACTATGTTCACTTGCTCAATTCTGGCTCCTAGAAGACTTACATGACGAATGTTTTAGACTAATTGTATCAGTTTTGGATTCCTATCAATATTTGTCTATTAAAATTATACAGATGGCTGCTAATCTCAATCAGTGGAAGCTAGTTGAAGTTGCAGCAGAGTATCTGGCCCCTATGTATCATCATCTACGTAACTCAAGCGAGCTTGATGTATTGGATGAACATCTCATTGAAATTGTCCGCACTGCCTCAGTTCAGTTTTCTCAAAGAAATGGACACTTACTCTCATTGACATGATGTTTCTGCGCATATTTTAGATAATACGACTTCTTGGACATGGAGGGGATACTTTTCAGGCTTTGACAAGATTGGTTGAGTTTATGGTGTTTCAGTAATAGCTTGAAGGATCTAGGGGCATACTTTATCATCTGTCCACTCAAGGGGTTGCAAGCAAATGGTTTGATACAGTCTGCGGAAGTCCTTCCAACTCAATCAATCAATATCATTATGCTGTGTGATCGCTTTGCATCAACTGTATGCTTGTGTGGAAATCAGATCTTTTCTACAAGAAATATACATAGAAGAGTTTAACCTTTGTACAGCTTTGTATAGGAAAAGCTTGTCCAATGGTAGACCTTGTTCAAGTTTTCTCAGTAGGAAGCATCATCCTCAAAGGAGTTTTAGTTCCATGCGGGCAGAAGCCTAAGCATTCGTGCAAGTCCTCCTTTTGCAATGCCATCTTTTGCTGCCTCTGCTTTTATCGTCAGCTTTTGCCGCTATCATATATGGAAGTACACTCTGTGTGGTTCTTATTCATTTTAGCTCAACAAGGGTAAGGAACATCTTTCTAAGGGAGTTTTGATTTTGATGCGGACAGAAACCTAATCATTTAGGGGTTGTTTGGTACATGGGATAAGGATAATAATCCCAGGATAGATTTTGGGATTAATTTTATCCCATGTTTGATTTGGGGTATTAGCTAATCCCAGGACAACTTTTACACTAAAATGGTGGGATTAGTTATCCCATATAAAGGTGGGATAACTAATCCCACGGGATATTCCATTGTACCAAACGACCCCTTATGCATTCCTTTTGTTGCTGCCCCTGCTTTGGTTCTAAATACCGTTGTTCAAACTAAGGAACTCGGACAATGCATGTATAGTGGAAAAATCGTTCTGGTTCATGTGCTCTTTTGAGCTGTTTTAGCTATTATGGTGAGAAAAGGTGTTTTCTTTTTCTTTATAATGTCATCTTTTCTTTGTGGGAGCAGGGCCTTAGAAGGGGTGGATTTATGCTTACCGTGACACCGCTTCGTCGAAATTTTTTACTAAATATATGTATTTATACTGTATGGAAACAGATAAGTAGAAAAAAATGACACCACTTGACATAAATTGTATCTTGGTGTGTTGGTAATGTGCTTGATTTTTCTTTAAGAGGTCTCAAAGGTTCAAACCTTAACTAGAACATTTTTCATTTGCAAATACATTTCTGCGTACGCCCCTGCCTTAGGGTGTGATGTCTATGCGCCTCTTTTGAGGTGAGCCAAATTTTGCTGTGAAATGGCTACCTCAAATGAATGATGATTCCTTATGTTCAGATCGCGAAAAACTTTACTATGTGCTTCACACAACTTACACTAGTTGTGTGAGGCTTTGCTTTGTCCCACAATAAAGTGGACCTAACTGTTAGTTGTGTGATACACAAAATAAAAATTTCTCAGATAGCATATGGTCTGTTTGGCACGATAAAGTCATTTTTCAGTTTTTTTTTAGAAAGTAATTTTTTGGTGTTTGCTCATTAGAATAAGGGGGAAGCCATTTTCCTTACAACGTAAACTTCCAATACTAACTTCATACTACTTTTGCTCTAACGCTTAAGACATTATTATCAGTCTTTAGGATTCAAAAATTTCATCAAACCATTCTTCAATTTTTGATTTGATATTATTATTAATCTTGATTGTACATTTTTTGAAAATAATTTTTTACTCACTAATCAATCACCAAAAATATGTTTAAAGAATCTCCAGCAAAATCCTGTGAAATGACTTTCGTCACACCATAATTCTGTGCTGTAAAAAAACAGTAAGAGTAATGGTAGAAATCAATTTTGTGACCTAATAGTCATATTAAATAAATAAATCTGTTACCAGTTTCCTGCATCCACAAGACAACATATTTTTTTCCGTTTGTGCTCTAATATAATATAACTAAAACAAGCTCAAACAAATACTATCTAATAGTAGTATGTTATATGATTTTATCTGATTTTAATAGTATCACACAGCTGGATGCAAGCTCTTAGATAAGCTTTACCATGAAAAGTTGGAACACGTTTCCCCAAGCTTTACTATTAATATCTAGGAGTGTTTGTTCAGGCAATTCAGATTAGATATGAAAATTTCGGTTTGAATTTTTATCGTCGGATTGAAGAAATGACAATCCAAATCCAATCCAAATAAGCTCGGATTGGATCGGATTTTTTAAGTACGATTTCAGATTAATCGGTTTGGATATTTTGGATTTTCGGTTTTCAGCTTATAACTTGAGATGCTTCTTCTTTTTGTACAAAAATGAATATCCAAATGAAGTACTCATGTTAAATTGCCTCAAAAGTTCATCATTCTCACCGCAATCATCCAAACAAAGTATTAAAGTAATGAAATTATTATCAAGGAAATGCAACAATGGCATTAATACGGCCGATAAGAAGTAGCAACAGTAAAACTATGTCCAAATAGAAAGTATTCTGACTGTAACTAAGTAACTACTATTGAATATATAAGATAATATCTAATGGGTAAGGTATTGAACTTATCATATGGATAATGGGCTAAATATAACGTATAAAAATTCCGGATTTTCGGATATCCAAAAATCTGATGTACCAAATCCAATATCCAATATGAAATTTAAAAATTTAAAAATTAAATTCAAAATCCAATCCGTAATCTGTAAATCCAAGCCAAAAATCAACAAATTCGAATTTCGGTTTGGGTTCCAGGTTTCCCAACTATGCCCACTCGTATTAATATCCGCTCTGTTTTAAAAGGCAAAATTGGGACTCGCCCGAGGGCGGAGCACTCGTAAAACGCCCTTGGACTTATGTGTGAGGCTTAATTCCGTGAGACTTAGGCCTTGGCTATCGGGGCTTATGCCCCGGACACGTCCAGCGTACTAAGCTTTTCTAATAAAACTTTATGCAATTGTATATAACTAATGTGTGCGGTTAAATCTGGGGGGCCGATTTCCCCTTAACATAATACTCCGAAGGGTGATCCCGGAGGCACGGGATCTCGAGTCAGTCGCTTCCATCAAGGTCTGTCGATGCTTTGCCAAGGATAATACCGGCCGAAGCCCCGACGAACGCAGAAATCTCCCGAGGAATGCGCCCGGGGTCGATCAAGTCTATTCGAGCGGTTCGACGTCAGCTCACATACTACATAAAGCTAACCAGCTGTCACATCACATTCTCTTTCATCACACAATGTATTTTGTACTAAGTTTGAGCTTCCCCTTTTTATAAAAGGGGGTCATTAACGCCTTGCAGGGAAAGCTGCAATTATCCTACTCAAGTGCTATAATATCTTCTCTCTCTTTTCCTTTCTAATTTGCTTATCCCCATTGGCTCGAAGCCATTTATCTTCGATTACTTACTTGTTTGTTCTTTGTTTATCACTTGGTACTGGCCCAAAACCGTCTTCATATCCATCGCCTTTTTACTTGTTCTTCAGTACATAGCTTAGTATTGGCCGAAAAGAGCCTTATCTAATTGTATCTTTGACTGTTATCCCATCCCTGATTGGCCCCGACAGCTCGAGCTCGACTCGAATCACGACCCCGAGGTCCCCATCAACCGGTTCTGCATCCGGGCAACAGCCCCCTTCGGTTTGATTACTGCCTCATTTAACATGCATTTCATCTTCGAACTCCATATTGTTAGCATCAACTGCCCTAACAACTAGCTCGGGAATAGATCACGTATTTTTAGAAACTCATTTACAAATTTAATTGTCGTTACCATTTTCACGGTAAACAGTTTGGTGCCCACCGTGGGGCTAAAAATAATAGTGATTATTTTCTTGCTGGTTTCATTGCACAAATACCCATTATATTTCACACTTTTTCTTGTCCAAGATCCTTTGATTTCAGGTTAAAATGTCCGGCTCAGTAATCAAAGTCGAGAACGACTACCCCGAAAATCACGACGGAAACGGTGTGGCTGTTCCAGCAACTAGCACGACGTCGCAGGACCCCGATAACGCATCTGGATCGATTCAAGCGGACGCGGGCTTGCAAGGCGCGCAACAGTTCGACGAAGCCTCGCGCACCGATGGTAGCATAAAGCATATCGACCAACAGGAAGCTCAAAAAACCCCAGCCCCGGAAGAACAGGAAGTTAGTCTTTATGTTATTATTGAAATGTTGCATGCACAGCAGTTGGATCGCTCAGCTGCAAAGTCACCCAGAGACTCCCCACGCAGCAGCGCCAGACACATCTCCCTACGCCGAGCGAGTACCCAAGAGATCAAGCCCCAACGGATCAGTAATTGACCCCAATGTAGTAAGGATGTTTGGGGATCTCTTCGAAAGGATCGAGTCAGGTTCATAGAAGTTCATACCGCAATTGTCTCCCGAGGAAGCGGTCCCGGAACTCGCATCACGGAAATCCAAAATGCCGAAACTCCCCAGGTGCGACAGGACCTTGGATCCCTATGAGCGCACCACTGCTTACGCGTGCTCGTTCAAAGGCAACGACCTCTAAGATGATGAGTGCGAGTCCGTCTCGTTGAGGAAGTTCGAGGAAACACTCTCGAAAGAAACCATGACGCAATGCCGCAGCCTGGCACCTGGCCTCGCAAACCCGCTTACCATATCAGCAAACCCCTCCGCATGAGCACACACCAATGTCATTGAAGCAGTGACGAAAGAGCTCGACATACTTGGGGCCAGACAAAGAAAGAGTGAAGCACCACAGGAAGTTGCGTCCCGTTCCCTGATAGGACGAATGAGATTGCTCCCGGTTTCGGACGATTGGACAACCCGGGCCTTCGCCCGAAGGTTAAACAAAACGTGTCTGACGACTCCAGGACATTTCAAACGAAGCTTGATCAGATACCCAGCCGAGATCTGGTCGGATACCCGCACCCGACACCAGCCACGGAGCAGGGTTCTGGACAACCGCCCCGGAACCTCCTCGGGCTCGGTATCCAAGCAGACTCCCGATAAAGAAACTAATGCCAAACAGGTGGAGGTACCATCCATGCGCCACGTATGGGAGGAACGGCACAAGATGTAACCTACCTCGCAACAATAGGGAAATAGCCCGAAGACAACATCCTCGAGGAATCTCCAGTAGAACCAGATTCGACAAGGCATAGCCGGCAGGGGAACCCCGCCCAGCAGAGTACGATTTCAGCATTGCTATACCAAATATCGTGATCACCGTAAGGGAAACTAGGGACGCCAAACGACTCAGGCCAATTTGACCAAGACCCCTTCAAAAGAACCACAACCCGACGCGAGAGCTGTAGAACGCGCGCGGTCGCGGGATCGAAAATGACCACCAGCTCAGAAGGATAACAGTCGTGCTACTCAATAAAAATCACCACCAAGTATCATTGAGCGGTCAGACTCGAACCCAGCCCCAAGGGAGGAAAGCAACCGGGAAGAATAAAGCAAACAATCCGCAACATATTACCACGACAGTGAAGGAGCGGCAACACCCCCCAAGAACTCATGAAATGGAAAGTGAAAATCTTCGTCACCAAGGAAAAACGGGTATGGGGAAATATTCCAGAGGGCACCCTTACATCCAGAGAAAAGGACACCGAGACCTCGCCGCGGTCTCACACTGACACATTGGTAACCTTCCCCCTCGTTTAATCCATTTTCAATAAAATGCATGTTCATGGAATCAGGAGATTAGATCAAGCACACCAACAATGTCGGACCAAAGTCAATTGAGCGGTCCGGACCAACGGACCGAATCGCTTTCGTATCTCGAATCCCCAATAGATTCCCCGACAGATTCCAGGCGACGATCGCCACGAAAACCATTCTCTTGATATAGCCCGTCTGAGCTCGAGCTGAGATGCCGAGCTCTGCACCATTAGGGAAGGCGCACATGTCCTATTCAAACAGCCACTGACACATCGCCCGGAGATGCCATCAACCCCGCTTCGCCAAAAAAATGAAATTCCAGGCAAAGGGCGGGATTAAAATAAGGCGGCAAGGGGCAACACGCGATGAGAGAAAATTCCTCACCACATAACGCATCGCCGGCATTAATGCCTCTGCCCTCAAATGGATCAAAGGGTAAGCAGAACCTCATCTTCGGCCAAGCCTGATTGAACATAGCAGAAGGCTGTATTAGGGCTCGCGCCTCGAAACGGCA